TAGAAAGGTCATTTGGTGCATTTACTACAATATGTGACATGTGCCCCGGAGTCCAGGCAGCACTATAATGAAACACATTAATGTTTCTGGAGGGTCACATAGATTTTCCTGCTAAGTGAATAATTAAAACCACATCACCCCTTTGTCATTTCAAAGTAACTGTTGCTGCCAAATGACTTTTGAATTGACTCATGGTTCTTCAGAGCATTTAGGGAATGGAAGTTTGCAGAGAAGGGATTAGTAGACCCAGATTTACTACCTGAGAACTTGGCTGGGAGACCACCCATGGGACACTGCAGAAACCAGTTTCATAACCTTACGTGTGACTCCTCAGCTGATAAGGTGTGAACTTGGCATTGGAATACTATGTTAACAGGCCAGGCGTGGTTGTTCATGTCTCTCAGCACTTTGGGAGGCTAAGGTGGGAAGATCACTTGAGCCCAGGGATTCGAGACCAGCCTGGGCGACATAGATCCTGTTTCTACAAAAAATAAATAAATAAATGTGCTGGGTATGGTGGTGCATTCCTGTAGTCCCAGCTGCTTGGGAGGCTGAGGCAGAAGGATTGCATGAGCCCAGGAGATCGAGGTTGTGGTGAGCCATGACTGTGCCACTGCACTCCAGCGTGGACAACAGAGTGAGACCCCAACTAAAAAAAAATATATTATATTATATATATATTATATCCTGTGTCAACTATAGGCCATTACCCTAATGTGTCTGAAGAAATGCAGTGACCTGTATCCATGTTTAATACACAGCGGGGGCCGGGATCGGTGGCTTCTCAGCCTGTAATCCTAGCACTTTGGGAGGCTGAGGTGAGAGGATTTCCTGAGACCAGCCTGGGCAACTTGACAACCTCATCTCTGCAATAAATCAAGAAAAATTAGGCAGGCATGATGGTGCATGCCTGTAGTCTCAGCTACTTGGCAGGTTGAAGCAGAAGGATCACCCGAGCCCAGCAAATAGAGGCTGTGGTGGCTGTGGGCGTGCCACTGCACTCCAGCCTGGGCGACGGAGTGAGACTGCAACTCAAAAAAAATAAAATAAAACGTATATTTCTCTCCTCGGGCAGCCCAGAGGCGAGTCACCCTTTCTGTGACATCAACCAGCATTCCCGGTTCCTTATATCTCATGGCTCTGCCATCTTGAACACTTGGCTTGTGGCCTGTGATCCCAGGGGGCAGCCTCAGCAGCTGCCATCACGTTTACATTATAGGCAGGAGGGGAAAAGTTAAAAGGGGCAGGGAGGGCATGCTTCTTCCCTCTAAGGCGTGATGTTAAAGGCACAGGCAGTACATCTGCGCATATTCTGTTCACCTGAACGCAGTCACCTGGCCACACTGCCTTCCAAGAAAGGCCGGGAAGTGGACTCTTTATGTTGGTGGCCAGGTGCTTAGCTAGAAACCCTGCTGCCAAACAAGAGAGGACAGTTAGGAGGGGACAGCTCACAGCTCTTCCACTGATGGGACAGCTTAAGGAGGTTACTTTTCCAAAACTGCATCACCAGGAACAGTGAGTTGAGGTGAAGTTGGCATCCTGGGTCTGTTCCCTGGGCTGCCTCCGCCTCCTGCAGCCTCTTCCCTAGCTCTTGCCATATTCTGCTTTCTCTTTAAAAAAAAATTATTGGCCGGGCTCAGTGGCTCAGCCTGTAATCCCAGCACCCTGGGATGCCGAGGTGAGTAGATTGCCTGAGTCCATGTGTTCGAGAGCAGCCTGGGCAACTTGGTGAGATCCTGTCTCCACAATAAGTCAAAAAATTAGCCAGGCATGGTGGTGCGCGCCTGTAGTTCCAGCTACTTGGAAGGCTGAGGCGGAAGGATCGCCTGAGCCTAGCAGATTGAGGCTGCAATAGCTGTGAGCATGCCACTGCACTCTAGTATAGGCAAGAGAGTGAGACTGACTCAAAACAAAAAAAAATGCGTGTTCAAAAATGTTCACTACATGACTGGGAGCAGTGGCTGATGCCTGTAATCCCAGCACTTTGGAAGGTGGAGGCAGGAGGATCGCTTGAGCCCAGGAGCTCAAGATGAGCCTGGGCAGTATAGAGAGACCCCATCTCTACCACATAAATAAGTAGAACAAAGATGTTCACTGCAGTCATGTTTGCATTCCTTAAAAAAGCTAGGAACAAGCCGGGCTCGGTGGCTCAGCCTATAATCCCACGCTTTGGGAGGCTGAGGTGAGTGGATTGCCTGAGCCTGCGGGTTCAAGACCCGCCTGGGCAACTTGGCGAGACCTCATCTCTACAATAAATCAAAAAATAAGCCAGGCGTGGTAGTGCGCACCTGTAGTTCCGGCTACTCGGACGGCTGAGGCGGAAGGATCGCCGGAGCCCAGCAGGTCGAGGCTGCGGTGGCCGGGAGCGGCCACTGCACTCCAGTCTGGGCGACAGAGTGAGACTCCAAATCAAAAAAAAAAAAAGATGTAGGGTACAATTCAGGGTTAAGTATACAAACATTGATTATGGAGGTACCTTTGTTTGAGGTATGCTCCTCCCTCCCCTAGCAGTTTTCCTCAACTGCCAATCCCACCCCCTGTCCCCTGACAGTTTCCCATTACTGCCAAATGCTTTCTTATAGTATTATAATTGTTCAAGATCTGCTTATGAGTGAGAACATATGGTACTCTGTTCTTTGTTTCTGTGATAGATCACTGAGTATGATTGACTCCAAATCCATCCAAGTTGCTGCGAGGTCCATATATTTATCCTTCTTTATGACTGCATAATATTCCATGGGACTGATAATTCTTTTAAACCAATTAATTGCTCTGTATACTATGTAGAGGGGTGGTGTACTGTATTATATAACCCATATATGGAAACTGGGCCAATTGTAAATTCAGATGTAATCTCCTTAGATATGGTTAGAAACTTGATTTGGGGCTTAGAACTAGTTATTTTAATCATTAGATTATTTTATTGATTTCAAGAACCCAGTTAATAAAATATTCTGCTTTTGAAATAGTGGAAATTTAAATTTCAGTTTTATTAACTTAGCATTAAAATATTTAGTTTAGAGGTTATTAATCTGTGTGCATGATATGTGCCTTATAAATTGTATGTGCATGCTCAAGTCAGAATGTAAAATCAATATTATAAATGTCTCCTAGACAATGTTTAAAAAGACCTCAAGAATTTTCATTTCTTTTTTTAGTTAGAATTGTGCTTTAAAAAAAGTGGGGGGAGAGTGGGAAGATAACAAAGACAATCTAAACTATTAACATTGATATAAACCAGACTCTAGAGACTTCCTACTTTAATGACTGCTATTTTTTGTCTCAACAAAAATGTCAGTATTCTGAGTTTTATCAATCAGTATGTTGTTTCTAAAATAATTTATGTGACACAGAAGCATATAAATGAATAAGCAGAAGCAGTGGTACATAAAATCTGGAAGTACAGTCCATTAACTAGAAAGAGAAATGTCTCAAAACAATGAACAATGTAAAAAGATATATTTAGGTGAAATACATGAAAGGTTAAACCTTACACTTTCAAGTTTTCTTAGACGATTATTTTGGGAGATGGCATGGAGTTGATACCTTTTTCTAATAATCACTTGGTTAAGATCAGCCAAAATGATCCTTCACAAGAAATTTTTTACTTTAAAACTCATGCCCCATGGCAGTTAATTTGAACACAAGAAACATTACCTGCTGAATTAATAATATTCCTGATCCTCATCAGTAGCTTGTGTCATCAAGCTATTAAGACATTTTGTTTGCTAACCAGACTGTGAAAACAGCATCCCCAAAAATGCTTACTTTACTAGCATCTGCAGAAACTGCAATTTTTATACCCAAGTTTCTCTAAACCACTGAGTTGTTTTTCTTAGGACAAAAGAATGTCAAATCTAATAACCCCAAAGGTATCCTAAAAGCATAATTCTAGTATGTTTTCCTTTTTAAAAAAACAATCTGCTTCTTAA